AGGAGGCAAACCATGGTGGGTCTTAGTGCCTAGCTAGTATAGCAAAAATACAAATTCTATCTGACTTTCCATTTTGCCAAACCCTTCTCCATTTATTGAAGAATCCCTCCTGCCCACTGTTTCGTTCAAGTCATCATCTCACACCACTAGCTCCAATTTCTCAACACAATTAATACAATCGTCCAGAAATTACCAGTACAATGAACCTCTCTGACTACTAAACAACAATTTATTGTTTCGCACGCCTATGGCAAGTGGTTAGTCACTTGCTTATTAGGGGAAATACTACTTGGGTTGATGTTTGAATTTTCAGGGACCCCTTTCCCTCTTCTCTCATGGCATAATAAGAATATTCGTAAAAAATTATTACCTTATATAAAAAAAATAAATAATAAAAAAGTAAGAATTAAAATATTTAAAATTTTAATTTTTAATAAAATTATTTAAATATATTTTAAATAATTTTTTATTTATTAATTTATTAAAAATGTTTAAATATTTTTTTAAAAAATCTTAATATTTTAATTGTTCCGAAACATTTTAATTTTGGCAAAACCATAAGTTAAGCCCCTAAACTAATCCCAGAATCGCTATTAAGCCTCCAGACTTTAATTGATGCATGTAAGTCCTTCAACTCTACCGTTGAAGCAATTTACCCCCTATTTTCACAGCAACTTAACCGCTATTAACGGCCGTTAATTGCCGTTGGGGGACTGCCTCGTGTGGCAAAATATGGTCATCTTATACCTACTTGCCAGGGGATTTCACATTTGATTTGTCCACTTCGATAAAAAAAAAAAAAAAAGAAAAAGAAAATTTAAAAACAATTCTTTATATTATGTTTTATGTAATTTTATGTGTCATTTAAACAATTAACTTTTTTTATTCATAAGTTTGCTTAACTTATATTTTAAAGAAACAAATTAAAAATAAAATAAATATATGTTTTGTAATAAATTTATGTTAAAAATAAAAGTTAACTTTCAATTTTTTAATTATTTATTAAAAAATAAAAGTGTAAATTTGGGAAAAAAAATGTAATATAAAGATATAATAAATAATTA